TGTTGCATTACACGGGACTAAAACAACAATATCTAACATTTAAATATATCAATTGCAACCCCTCGACGTCAGCTAATTAATGAAGCAGTCGGTGACTTCATGTAATCTAGATCGCAGCACTGACTTCATAATAATGTACACTTTACTCACCTGAAGATGCAGCGAATTGTCAATCGTTTCACTCCCTGTATAGTGGTATACAAACACACACTAAGATACTTCGCTAACACCAGTCTGGAGGTGATTGAAGCTATGGACAATGAAATTGAGATGATTGAGCAGGGGGCGCGCTCAAAATTACTCCCAACGACGCTGAAATTCGCCAACTTAACCAATAACCGAATCATGTTTGGCGCGTATTGGAAGGATATGCTGTCACTCACAGGGCTGGAAAAACTCCATCTGGACGGATATCAGAATCCTGTAAAGTTCCCGCTCTTTTTCCCTTCAACAGATTTCCAGTGTCAACGTCCCAGCGGAGATAAACATGAACCATTTCAAGCCGCTGGCGAGTTTAGTGAAAAATGTATCTGTGGGCCAGATGAATGTTCGTTAGAGGAGGACGATGATTTCATCCTGCCCCTACCTCCAAACCTACTCAATCTGACGATGCATAGCAATTCCCTAGCATATAAAGTCGGCAATATTAGGTTCTGTGCTAACAACAGCCTCAGCAGTGTGGATCTGAGCGGGAATATGTTCCCTTATTTGGAAGGCCCTATCACAGGACTCAACAAACTCAAATACTTAAACATATCCAGCTGTTTTATACAAACGATAGACGCTGAATATTTTAACTTCTTATTCAGTTTGGAATATCTAAACCTGTTTCAGAATTTGTTGGGAGATTGCTTGGACAAAGATATGAACGGCAGTATTTTTGACCATCTCAAAAATTTAAAATATTTGAACTTATCATTTAATAACATATTCCGATTTCACTGGCCAGTTTTCAAAGATCTGGAAGACTTAGAAATTCTTGACCTCTCAACTAACAGAATAAGTCATATCAACTTCAAAGTCGACCACATGAAAAATTTAACATTTTTGGATCTGCACAAAAATGACATAGCCGATTTGCCGAAAGATATGAGAGACTTGATAGATTCTCTGCTAAATGCCAACAAGTCAGTGAAAGTCGACATGCGCGATAATCCTATCTACTGTGAATGCTCTAACTTGGCCTTTCTAGAATGGGTTGTTCGAACGAATATATTCGGGGATAACTATACACATTACTACTGCAAGTACCCTGTAGAAAACCAGACTGCTGTGGAAATGAGTCAGGGTTATGCAGAGGAGTTGGTGAAACTAAGAAAGCAGTGCGCCACCCACGTAGGTTTGTTTCTGGGAGTCATTGGGGGAACTATTCTGGTGGTGACTTTCATTACTGGACTCCTGCTCTACCGCTTCAGGTGAGTGCTGACCTTGTCGCGTCTGTTCACTTTCAGTTAAAACATCTAACAACAGTCAAATACTACAAAAGGGGGCTGAGTGGTCTCGAGGCATGGCGCCCGCCTCGAGTACTTGAGGTCCCGTGTTCAGTGAAGGCTGGGAATTTTCCACGTGGACTTCTAGTAATTTCCCCTGGTCTCTGGGTAGCAACATCGGACACCCGTGTGTATTCTTGCTAAAGTGGTTTTTCTAGGCAAATTTTACATTTTACTTTCAGTAGTTTGCCATTGCTTACTTAAGCTCTCGGTACCACTGTCGAAACCAAAGCAAGACAAATCTGAACAAAGAAGACATAAACAACAGTCTGCACAATTTATTGCCTGATATTTTTCGTTGCATCTCATCAGGTGAATACTCAAGTCAGTTAGTAGCATGTCCTTTGCAGAACCTTGCTCCTATAACAACCTTCCGCTAAACTTCTCGATCACAAGCAAGATGTCCCGCGTCCGATACACTCATCTGGAGATCATCTGCCATCTCCTGGACCCAACTTCTCTTTGGCCTTCCTCTTTCTCTCCTCCCATGCAAATAACCCGCCATTATTGTTCTCTCTAAACTTTCGTGACGTTTGGAGTGACCGAAATATTTAAGTTTTCTGTGTTTTATCGTCTTTAATCGCCAGTCTTCATAAAAATTCAGTTCTTGAAGTATGGATGCATTTGTTCATTTTTTTTTTACCTATGATATTCTTGGAACCCGTCTATAGCTTGTTTAGTAAGTGTCCAGGTCTCACAGGCGTATGTTGCACAGGGAAACATGCAGGTTCTAAGAATTTTTTTTTTTTTTTTTGGGGTAGTTTTGCCAGTCCCACTCTATAATTTATTCACTTGTTATAGTCTTAGGTGCATTCTACAGAAACAGTTACAGAAATGAAGCAGATAAGTGAATCCTTTATGACCGAAGTACGAAATCAACAACGATCAAACATGACTACCTATTTTACCAGGGCAGCCGCAATGTCAGAACCATATCTTTTTGTATACAAAGTGCAGGACGCATGTTCTACTTGTCTACTGCTGCTCTTTACTGTTGTCAAGATGTTTTACACCACCTTTATACTCACTGTAAGACAAATTATCACTGTCTCTGACTCTTGTTGCTCATATTTGTGTACTGTCATTCACTTCTTCCATGTAATCTCGTTGATATTCTGGCGATCCATGGTCCTTCCGAAATTCATCTCAGAAACCACATCGACGCTAATAATAATAATAACAGTTATAATAAACGTGTCCTGGGAAGAAAAGAGGCCGGAGTGATGCTGACCACATCACCACTAAGTGCCGATTGGTCTATAAAATATAGGTCTAGCCCTATATTCCTGAGGGTAGGGAAAGGTCCTTTACTACAATAATAGTAACAACAAGGAAGAGGAGGCGGAAGAGAGGAGGAGGAAGAGGAGTAGGAGAGAAAAAGAAGAAGAAGAAGAAGAAGAAGAAGAAAAAGAAGAAGAAGAAGAAGAAGAAGAAGAAGAAAAAGAAGAAGAATAAGAAGACGAAGAAGAAGAAGAAACAAAGAAGAAGAATAAGAAGACGAAGAAGAAGAAGAAACAAAGAAAGAAAGAAAGATAGAAAGAAAAAAGAAGAAGAAAAGAAGAAGAAGAAAAGAAAGAAGAAGAAGAAGAAGAAGAAGAAGAAGAAGAAGAAGAAGAAGAAGAAGAAGAAGAAGAAGAAGAAGAAGAAGAAGAAGAAGAAGAAGAAGAAGAAGAAGAAGAAGAAGAAGAAGAAGAAGAAGAAGAAGAAAGAAGAAGAAAAGAAGAAGAAGAAGAAGAAGAAGAAGAAGAAGAAGAAGAAGAAGAAGAAAGAAAGAAAGAAAGAAAGAAAGAAAGAAAGAAAGAAAGAAAGAAAGAAAGAAAGAAAGAAAGAAAGAAAGAAAGAAAGAAGAAGAAAAAGAAGAAGAAGACGAAGACGAAGAAGAAGAAAAAACAGAAAGAAAGAAGAAGAAGAAAGTGAAGAAAAGAAGAAGAAGGAAAGAAAGTAGATGAAGAAGAAACGAAGAAGAAGAAGAAGAAGAAGAAGAAGAAGAAGAAGAAGAAGAAGAAGAAGAAGAAGAAGAAGAAGAAGAAGAAGAAGAAGAAGAAGAAGAAGTATAAGAAGAAGAAGAAGAAGAAGAAGAAGAAGAAGAAGAAGAAGAAGAAGAAGAAGAAGAAAGAAAAAGAAGAAGAAGAAGAAGAAAGAAAAAGAAAAAGAAGAAGAAGAAAGACAGAAAGAAGAAGAAGAAGAAGAAGAAGAAGAAAGAAAGAAAGAAAGAAAGAAAGAAAGAAAGAAAGAAAGAAAGAAAGAAAGAAAGAAAGAAAGAAAGAAAGAAAGAAAGAAAGAAAGAAAGAAAGAAAAAAGAAGAAGAAAAGGAAGAAAAAAAGAAGAAGAACTAGAAAGAAAGAAAGAAAGAAGAAGAAGAAGATAAGAAGAAGAAGAAGAAGAAGAAGAAGAAGAAGAAGAAGAAGAAGAAGAAGAAGAAGAAGAAGAAGAAGAAGAAGAAGAAGAAAGAAGGAGAAGAAGAAGAGCAGTAGAAAAAAAAAGGAAACAGGAAGGAAACAAACAAGAAAAAGAAGAAGAGGAATAACAAGATTTAGAAAAAATACAAGCACAGGAAGAAGAGGAATAACAATATAAAAAAATACAAGCACAAGAAGAAGAACATGAAGAGGAAAAAAAAAGACTAATAAGCCTAAAGTAATATAGAACTCTAAACTGATTATAACTGGTATCGTGTTCGATTGTGCATCCCATGTTAGGTGGACTCTCAGATACTGGTACCATGCAGCAAAGTTGAAGATCTACTCTAACCCAGACAAGATCAGCGAAGAGTTTGACTACGATGTGTTTGTCAGCTACGCCAGTGATGATGTTGATTTTGTCCTTCAGGTAACAGTGTCGCTTAACTTAACAAAACCAAGCTTGTACGAGGCACTGCAATAGACAGTATCTTTCCTCTTACTCACTTCACTGAGAGCGTGATCTGTTTCCATTCACATTAGTCTGTTTCAACTCAATTACTGTGTGTTATGTGTTTCTACTTACTTGAGTGCGTGTTTTGCAACTTTGTGTTTCTCCTCACTTGACTTAACTATATATTTAGCGCTTCTCACTGGACAATTAATTTTATACGTTTTTTACTCACTTGACTTTCAACTTAATATATTTTTGTATTAAAGTGACTGTTTTGTCCGCACTACCATATGCCCACCTGAGTGCTTTAAGTGCCTTTTCATTCGCATGACTGTGTTAATCTTGTATTATTTACTCACTTTGTATTCACTTTACATTTCCATTCACTTAACTGTTTACATTGTTTATTATTTTTTTTTATTTTGAACATTTTTTTTTAAAATCGTGTTCCTACTTTTATAAAAGCCATACATTGTCCATTACTTGTCCTTAAATGTAATGTGACAAGACATAACACTAACAATAATAATTTAGTTCCATTGCCTTTACAGGAGGTTGCAGAACTAACCTCAATATTTACTGGCTGTTTTCGGGTTTACGTGTGGAGACAAACTCTGCCTTATGTGCCTCTGGGCGCGATGAGGATTGATTGGGTTTACTAGGCAATTTTACCTTCAATAGTTTGCCACTGGAACCCATAGGAACATAGAAATAAAAGAAAGAAAAAATAAATAGAGAAGGTAGCTAGAGAATGAAGTTAAAAATATGGGGAGAGCTGAATGCGATAGAAAAGGATAGAACGACTTGGCGTGATCTGGTTAAGAGCGTATACGCTATTTGGATTTAGAAAGGCAGAAGAAGAAGTTTGCCATTGCCTTCCTAAACGGTCGGCTCTCGACATCCATGTCAAAATCAACGTAGGGTGGTCTGCTGCCAAACTGCCCGCAAGTTTAATCGAACTGGGTGTCCCGGAATTACAAAACGAGTCGGCAACGCCTAAGCCACAGTCGCTGACAATAGCAAAGACAACCATAATATCAGTGTTGTGTTAGAATGCAATTACCATTATAAACTGATGCATTGTAATGATATACTTTCTCACATCATGACACTGAGGTCCCTGTCAATCAAACATATGGGCTGGGATATCAATCTCATGTGGCTAACAAAAAACGTCCGATGTACATCAATGTGTCGGAGAAAGTCCTTTAAATACCGGAGAGCCTTTCAAACTGCGTGTTCCCCGTGTGGGTTCCGGGGTCCCATTGTGGAAAAAACAAAAATAGAACTCACTGTCTCCCAACAAGTATGTCGTAAGAGTCTACTAATTAGGAACTTCGTCGAAGTCGGAATGCATCTGCATGAGAGGCATTGAACCAACCGTCTTCATGCAAAAAAAAAAAAAAAAAACGGATCTGTAAAACGGATACGCATGCAGCACTCAGGTTCTGGAACAAGACTGGAGGAGTCCTTAACTTTGCGCTGGAGTTTACAGACGGTAAACGCTAGAATTTAAACATAGCATTAGAGCATACCTATATTAAACAGGGATCTGAGTTAAAATATCTTGGAATAGCATTCAATGAAGATGGTAAATTAGGTGAAAAAATTGACATCCGATGCAGTAAAGCAGGCGAAACTGAGAGACTGCAGGGTGAATGGGAGTATGTACAAATGGGTCAAAGCATACTTGTATAACAGAAGATCCCGAGTACAGATAGATGGACTTAAGAGCAAGAAAGTTTTGCTGCGCCATGGCGTCCCACAAGGAGGTGTCCTGTCCCCCACACTCTTTCTAGTCTATATCAACGACCTGCTTTCTGAACTACCCCATGGAATTAAAGCTGCAATGTATACTGATGACTTGGTACTCTGGAGTACAAATGAAAATGCGACAGTGGCCACCAGACTGCTACAAAGAGCCACAGATGCAATGGCTAAATGGGCCGACAAATGGTGTGTCAGCATCAACATAGGCAAATGCAGCACCACTCTCTTTACCCTTTCTCCTAAACAAAAATCAGGCGCCATGCACATAAATGGAGTACCCCTGAGAGAGGATAAGGAGCCCACATACCTCGGCGTAACGTTTGATGATAGATTAACATGGAGAAAACACATCAACAAGGCAGCAACCAAAGCCAGAAGGAGGGTAGCCATTCTGAGAAAACTAAGTGGAACCACATGGGGTGCTAGCGGGAAAATACTTAGAAAAGTTTACCAACAAAGTGTTCGACCACATCTTGAATACGGATCAACAGCATGGAGTTCGGCATCAAAAACCACATTGCAAGAATTAGACAAAGTGCAAAATCAAGCACTCAGAGTTACCACAGGCAGTATGAAATCAACACCTATAGCTGTGATGGAGAAAATGGGGATGACCCAAGCACTGAGTGAACGCAGAGACACCAAGATGCTTTTACAAGCAGAAAAGTTTCTTAGTATGCCCAGTCACCCTATGAATGAAAGATTCCAAAATTTAGCTTTGGGACGACTAAAGAGAAGTAGTTTTATCCACCATGCCAAACGGCTCGGCAGACAAACCACTGATTTACCTGCAACTGATAGATCCTTAAATGCTGTCCCAGAACGGACCCCCTGGAGAGAGGAGTATAAGTTTCCAATACACATCAAGACTGAAGTGAAAGGGGTATTTGACAAGGAAGAACAAAACAGTGTGCAGCGCAAAACAGCCACCCTCAGTCTACTTGATGATGAATACCCGCAGAACCTTTGGGTCCGTGTTTACACAGATGGGTCAGCAGAAAGCGCAGTCAGAAACGGAGGTGCGGGAGTATACATTGAGTATCCTAATAATACCAGGGATACAGCCAAATTACCCACGGGAAAGCACTGTCACAACTATGATGCAGAAGTTCAAGCCATCAAGATAGCGGTAGAGAAACTACTAAATACAGGGTATTTTTCACAACCAGTGGTATTCCTGACAGATGCAAAAGCAGTACTTCAGTCACTCCAGTCTGGAAATTACCAAGCATACGGACACTATTATCCGAACTAGGCAACCGCTGTAAATTAGTAATGCAGTGGATACCTTCCCACTGTGGAGTTCCCGGAAACGAAAAAGCTGATAAACTAGCTAACGAAGGTGCAACTGAAGAACAACCTGACATACCAGTCTCTTATCAACAGAAGAAGAGAATGATCAAATCAATCAGAATGCCACCGAAACTGGCACAAGATGATTACCATATTATGGACAGACCAGAGCAAGTTATTAACCTTCGCCTTAGAACAGGGCACAATAGACTTCGCTCCCACATGTACAACAAATTTAAGATTGGCCAATAGGCCATGTGTACTTGTGGACTGGCACCTGAAACAACAGATCACATCCTTCAAGACTGTCCCATATTCAACGCTTTCAGGCAAAACCTTTGTCCAAAAGAGACACTTGTGGAAGTCAAACTTTAGGGGTCGCTTAGTGAATTACAAAAGACAGTTAAATTCATACATGAGACGGCTTTGCAGATATAGACAATTTATTTCATGCTAACGAAAGAAGAAGAAGTAAAGCAGGCCTAGTATTGGGACAGCTAGCCTCCCTCTTACAGCACAAGGCGAGCATAAAGAAACATCTCATACAAGGCATATTCATTCATACCCTACGCTACCAGTGCCAGACGTGGTCACTCACGACAAAATATACAAGAAAATTAGTAACCATTGAAATGAGGTGTCTGAGAAAGACTGTAGGAGTGACCAGAAGAGATAAAATCAGGAATGAGATCATACGAGATAAAGTCGGAACAGAACCAATTCTAAATTACATACAAAGACAGCGGATCAAATGGTTTTCCCACTTGGAAAGAATGCCTCCTGATGCTATTCCATACAAGACATATACCAAAAGAGGAGAGGGACGTAGAGCAAGAGGGAGGCCAACAACAAAATGGGAAGATAACATCAGAGAAACTCTACAGCATATTCAGAGAATGTCAGATGACAGAGAGGTAAAAACTATATACACAAGGGAGATGAATAGTCGTAGACCTAAAGGCAGACTAAGAAGAAGACGGAGAGATAACGTCCAGACAGACCTGCAAACACTTGGTGTTACCAACTGGACACAGAACGCCAACCAGAGAGACGAGTGGAGGCGGGTGATATCCGCAGCAATGAACCTCAAGGGTTCAGAATGCTGAAGAAGAAGAATTGATGTGTGTACCCGTATCTCTTAGTAGTTAGTTTTATCTCTGATTTGCTAGTAGACCGAATTACTGTATAGCGAAATTATGTTCGTCTAAAGAAGTCGTCTTTAACTTTTTCAGTTCACGCCCCTCCCACCCTGAGAATGTGACAAGACACCCAAGCTCCCTTGAGTATAGGGCAAAACAACCCCCTTTCCCCCATAGAATATATGACAAGGATCCCCCTCCCCGAATCCCCCAACCCAACCTCAACATAAAATGTAATTACAAGAGAAGGACATTAGATTCCGCAACAAGCGAAACAGAAACTATTGAGCTACGCTTTGGTCAGAATGTGTTTTTAATCTATAATTAAATGCGCGTGTTATCATGTTAATTAGATTATTAGGTCCGGGGGAGGGGGGGGGGGGCAGTTTGAGACCACTAATTTAAAGAGTGTGTAAAAAGTATGAGAGATCTCCCTCTCCTGGAATTATTTTAGAAGGGGCCGAGGGGAGTATTTAACTGTTTGTTCAGTATATGTTAAGAGCCTTTAACACTGCCCACAATGTACAGATACGCTCTTTTCAAAGCGAGTTTACAACTCATTGTATTTTAGTATACTATATTTATTTGCCAGTCAACAAAGTATCGTTTATCATTATTGTGCAATTAAACAAGGCTTATGCTTTATAAAATTATAAAGGGGTTGATCCCCTCAATGTCTCCTTCATGATGGCGCGTCTGCTCTGACCTACTGTGTGTAGACAGTTGTTTTCTCCCATACAGGAGTTATCCCCTCACCTGAGTGCTGAGAGACATCTGAAGCTGCTGGTTCATGGGGAGAACTTCCAGACCGGTCGACATATAACAGACAACATCTACATGGCGGTGCGGCAGTCTCACAAGACCCTGGTGGTTCTAACCAAGAACATGCTCAAGAGTCACTGGTGCACCTACGAACTGCAGGTTAGAACATGTACACAACATTGTGGTTGGTTGTTTAACACGTTGGCGATTGGCTGTGATGTAGTCGGTGTGCATTTCTGCTACATCTATATAGGAGTGGCAGTCTTTCTTCTCCTAACCTTTTCCCTAGGCCATTCAACGAACAAACTCCAAATGTTGGACTGGGGACAGTCAAAGTAAAAGTGACACAAAGAAGAACCGCATCAAAGTTTTGAAGCGTCGACGCTTACAAAAATATCAAGCTCAAGCCGTCCCATTACTTTTCGGCCCTCTCCTGCAAGGCACTCCAAAATTGCTCCTGCCACTAAATCAGTTGCGGCGAAGGAAGGAAGTGCAGGCAGCCCCGAGTGTCATCGCTGAGGGGACGCGACAAAAGGGCAAAATATTTGTTTTAAGAATTTACAAAATATCTGTGGAGGACCGGGGGAGGTGGGGAAGGGGGGAAAGGGGGGGGGGGCGGGGTCAGAGAGCGTGATGGGAAATTTTTCTCATCTGTTACCACCTGACCTTATTACGCCATTGATCGACATCTGTAATAAACCTTGGCTTGACTTGGACTGCGCTTTGGCTTACTACTTATTGGCTTTAGCCACGGCTCACTCTCTGGATGTTACTGCTACACAACTTGCACTACTTTAACGTCTAGAGTTGACAACACAAACGCCGCTCAGCTTCTTGGTACATTCTGTCAGTTTATTCTGGTCCATTTATTTCACATGTTCAAACATTATTCACACTGTATCACTCGCGACATATTCGAACATTAAACATTTGCGCAACATAAAGACGACATCTTCAAATACTACAACCGTCTTCTCTGACCTCTGATGATCGACTGACCACGAGTCTAGCTCGGACTTTCCCTCGCTTCCTCGACTAGGCACAAGTATCTCGTGCTGTCCCTTGTTGCACGGACTTTCTGCTTGCCACTATGTAATCGTGAGGACCATGCAAAGCAGCGTCATTACAACATCATTATCATCATCATCATGTGGTAGCTCCTTTGCAGAAGGTCGTTCTCAGCACGGTTAGCCTGAAAGAAACCCAGTCTCTCGCCAGCTCTCCCGCCTCGTGTACATACATATTCAAGGCGTCAATTATATTATGTGCCCATCTTCGTGTTGGTCGGCCCCTGACCCTCCTTCTTGGTATCATGCCTTCTGCTATATTTTTTAAAAAACCCTTTATGGGGCTTGATATGACCAAAAAAGCTTTAATGTCTAAATACTTTTTTTAATGCTTTCTAAACCTAAAAAGTAGAAGAAGGTTCTGTCACATATATCCATTTTGAACTGTGCACAATCTAGATGTCGATTATTAATTTCTTGTTTTGCCACAGATATCCATTTTGAACTCTGCACAAACTAGATGTTGATTATTGATATCTTGTTTTGCCACAGATATCCATTTTGAACTCTGCACAAACTAGATGTTGATTATTGATATCTTGTTTTGCCACAGATATCCATTTTGAACTGTGCACAAACTAGATGTTGTTTATTGATATCTTGTTTTGCCACATATATCCATTTTGAACTGTGCACAAACTAGATGTTGATTATTGATATCTTGTTTTGCCACAGATATCCATTTTGAACTGGGCACAATCCAGATGTTGATAATTGAAATCTGGTTGTGTCACATATATCCATTTTGAACTGTGCACAAACTAGATGTTGATTATTGATATCTTGTTTTGCCACAGATATCCATTTTGAACTGTGCACAATCCAGATTGAGAATCAGACACCATGATTGGTCTGGTAAATACTACAAGCTAGCTAACTCAAAGCTGATACAATCGCCACCGTATTTAGTTCATACTTGAAGCCCTAGCTCTGTGGTCTTTATGTTACACTTCTACGATTTTCCCATTCCAACTGATTCTTCTGCTTCTGAGCTAACAGCCGCGGTTGGCACATTGGGCTGGGGTTTAGAAATGGCTCTGATATCTGCGCTCTTCAGCAAACTTGTTCCGTTGCTGCCTGTTATGACATGTGACTTAGTGGAAAGTGTGTCTCTCACAAGAGGAAATCTTCCCATTTAATCTGGCTGATCAACTCCTGCTAGATTTCTCCCGCGATGCACAGAACCGTGTATGCTCCGTTGGGAGATAAAAGGATGGAAGAAGAGGGTTACAGAGCCACTAGATGGATCATCACAGTTGGCATTTCTATCGATCCGTTGTTGTACCTCCAGTTCTACAAGAACTTGCTCTACATTCTCTTGCTAACTGAAGTAAATAGAAGCAGACACATCCTGTGCAGTAACTTCAATGTCATAGATGGAATCGAGTCCAGTACCTTTCGCCTCTCTCCCCTGCGTTCGTTTTATGATTTCTTTTGGACGGTCTGGCTTCCTCAATTCCTTTATTTCCCATTTTAGTTCACGTTTGGTGATTCTCTGCTCGGTTCTTCTCATGATGTATCCAATATAGTGACAATATAGAGCCACCTTCTTTTGTCCCAAACTGTTGTTACCAGTGGTTGCCCAGGCATTTCTCTTATTTCGGTAAAATACTCGTGCATATAACACCACGGTGTAGATACCCTATAATTTCAGTGTATAGCGATTACCTTTAACATGTGCTTGTTGTTTGTGCACAGATGGCGCGGATGGAGAGCATCAACACTGGTCGCGATGTGCTGGTCTTCTTGTTACTGGAGGAGATTCCGGCGCACCTGATGAGTGTCAATATGCTGTCCTACATTAAGACCAGCACCTATATATCTTATCCCAGGGAAGCCCAGCATAGGGATGTCTTCTGGAACAAGCTTGCAGCCGACCTCAGAGCGGCCTAACTCTCGCTCTCTGTCAGCGCGTCTAGAGAGACCAGCCCTTGAACCTTAACCGCTGGCTAGTCTCCTTCTCTTCCTCCACTGAAGGACAACAATGAATCGCTTCTGTCCAGATTTGTGCAGACAATAAAATATGGTCGTGAACCTGTTTTATTTTTTTAAATTGTTTTCACCTCAATGATTGCTGTATGTACGAATTACATCTCAAGGATGAGAGTGACACACAGTTGCAAATCCCAGAAACCCAGTTCTTCCGAATGCCACACAGCAAAGTTAAATTGCTATGAGAAGAAAAAAAACTGGAACTTCTTGTGACCACTGGAAATATCTATGGAAAGAGAGACAGGGGAAGACACAGCGAGAAGAGTTTTGACATACTTTTGTCACGGCATTGCGGTGGGGAGAGGGGGGAGGGGGTGGGGTTGGGGATGAGGATGGGTGTCGACACATAAAAAACAGGTCAGACACACAGATCACAGATTGTGGAGAGAATTGCTCGCCCATGCCAGTCAGCAAGGCACTTGACTATGCTGATTTCGGGGCACTACAAAACGGTTTCGAAGTAACATTAGTCAGTTTGGGTGAGTGTTGAACCAGTGTTTACCCTGGTAAAACAGACAGTTATTGTTAAGTATAGATGATTTTGTATTTCAGTTCGAAGGTGTAATTTATTTGTTTCATTATATTTAGTTGTTAACAAAGTATGAACCTGACGATATACAACAAAAATAATTAATCAATAATCCTTGCGGTCCATTGTTTGTGTCTTATTCGGTAAAATTTACAACGGGAAAATATCGCTGAAACAAGTTTGTGTCAGAACTTAATGAGTTCCTTCCCCTGCATTACTTTCCAAAGGATGACAAGAAACATTGCCCTTGAGTCCAGAATCGCGATAGCACAGGGTCTGTACACATGCTGCCATCCGAGGGGCATTGAGGCGGATAACTAAAAAACTGACCTCAATTGGAATGTCTTTGCACTGGAACCCACAGGGGCATAGAGTAAAGGAAGACCAAAAAACTTTGAGTTGAGAGCGAAGTTGAAAAGTTGAGGAGGACATAGGGAAAGCTGCAATAAATAGTGAAGGATAGAACGACCTGGCATAACTTGGTTGAGGGCCTGTGCTCCACTAAAAAAAGGGGGGGGGGGGCTTAGAAAGGCAGAAGAAAGAATTGGAAGTTGACCGAGGTTGATATGAGTACCAGGGAATGTCATGAAAAGAAAAGACAGAGTTCGTGTTAAAAATGCTAGGTGGGAACCATTAACAATAATACTTCCCTTCTGGGACCAGAAAGTTGTTCATGTTAGCCAAGTGTTCTTCTTTATAAACGACTTCGTGTTAACGAGATATTACTGTATAACAAAATGTTTTAGTTCTACATTTCGCTAATTATTAATATGTAATGTTTAATTAAGAAACGACATCACAGAAAGCGGGACATTCCAAAAAGCGCTCTGTTCCAATCTTCAGCAGCAAGCGCAGAGTTCCAAATCCGATGGTACCAGCAACAGTCTGATGGTATATTCGTCTCACTTGTTCCTTGAGTGTTGCTCTTTAGCCAGATCCCCTGGTCGCTCCTCGTAGCACCATTCTCCTCAGACCATGATGATCTACCTACGCCTCCGCAATGTTTACTCGCCCCCAAAGGGCCCTCACAACATCTAGCTTGTCATCATCCATTTAGTATCAAGTTGTGCCGAACAGCCAGTTTATCTGCTTGTTCATTTCCTTATATACAGTCAAAACTGGGAAAAACTATCATGAGAATGTTTACTACCCGGGGCCTCTGAAGCCACGTGGATGTGCTAATGGGATGAAAAGGGTTCTTCACTTGTACCTTTAATATACTCTGTTATAAAGGATGCCCGCTGCCAAATCACCTCGCTGAGAATCGAACCCGGTCCTCGGCATTACGAAGCCTAAGCCACAAACACCGAGAGCACTGGAAAAGGAAAATATAATTGCTGTTATAGTGAGTATGTGGCCATCCCCGTGTGGGTTCCGGGGACACATTGTGAGGGTGGGGGCAGAAAAGAGTAGACCCACTGCCTTCCTAACAAACATGTCGTAAGGGTCGTATTATTAGGGGTTTTCATCAAAGTCGGAGTGCATTTGCCTAAGAGGCAAGGATCTAACAATCTGCATATAAGTAAGCCAGATCTGTAAAAAAGAAATGATGAGCACGAAAGACCCAAGGTTTGGAACATGATTAACGTCCAGAAGTGGACGAACAACCATAACTTTACCCTGAAGTTTACACCTGATGAAATCTATCACTCATGGCCCAGTCTTTCTCAAAGGAACGGCTAACCGCCGGCCAAGAGAGCCGCGAGAAGCAGAATCCCATAGCACCAGCGACGATTTCCAAATATCTTGGTTAAAAAATGCATTCATAAACTGATCGATGCTTTGTAAAACGAACCCAAGAAGTTTGTAGCGCTAGGCAAACTACGGGCTAGTACTTGATGTTGAGACTATCAATGCTTTTTATTTTTATACCTATGTATTGCCTAGCGGCGTCAGGGCATTAGGATATATCTTGAACAGGCCCTTCTGTTCGTATAAAGTACTTTTCAGTGTCTCGGAAATTTATGGGGACCATATTTTGCTTGGTCAACCTCTGGTTTTATTACCGCTGTATCTGTGCAGTATTGCTCCCTGCGATGCCCTGTCTGATGCCAATCGTGTTACATGGAAAGTTGCAAGGGACTGGGTGGCTTCCCCTGACAATGTACAAACGTTGACGGTGCGCCTGATCAGGAAAGACCGAAATTTGCTGTGATGGATTGTAGCACTTCACAGAGAAATGTTTATAGTTTGTAAACTAAATTAACGTAAATGACCCTTTTCATGGTAGGACCCCTTCGTGCATATAGTGCCAGAATCAAACTGTATATCTTTGTAGACCAATCGGCACTAGATTAATGATGTGGTTAACGTATTGTGTGCACCCCTTTAGTTCCCGATATATTTTATTGTAATAATTTTAAGGTGGTTAGACAATGGAGCCCAGGTGAATTTTAAAAAATGTACATTAATTTGATTTGCAAGCCTTTGGCGAACTTCTTCTTTTTCTTCTTCTTCTTCTTCTTCTTTGCATTAGTTTCGTATTCTCAAATCAGACCATTAGGTGGGTTACCTCTATGAACTCGCATGCCAGCAGCAGGTCCCTCGTTGCTCCCTATTGTTCTGCACACTTGGCTCTTGAGGCCAGGTTTCTTTTCGAAGTCGCAAGTAGAGTGGGCAGGTATGAATTTGCTCAGCTGTTTGTTGTCCTGTTTAACAGGCATATTGTGGGGACAGTACAGTCATTATTTCATGCATGTGGTAGTTGAGCCTGCAGTGTCCTGTTCGTAGACGGAAAATTGCTGTGTGTTGCTTTCTGTTGAGACTGGGGTCTTATGGATGTTTACTGTTGGTTTGTTCTCTCCACATTTCCTTGTATTTTCTCTTAATGATTGACAATGAATGAATGTGTTGTTTCTCCTTTGTTTGGCGGACTTAAAAAGCTGCTTCGTAATATCTTCTGCATGTAGCTTAAGGTACTTGTGTATATTTCTCATGTAGAAAAGAGTACTTGTGAAAATACTCTTTGACTGTGCATGGCCCAGGTTTTGGTTTTATGTCATTACCGTTAAATAGTTGTATTTTTTCCACACTGGGAGCCGCCGGAGTGTAGCAGCTAGACACTCACCGGTTGATCTGAATGTCGTGGATTCAGGTCCTGAAGGAGCCGGACTTTGGCTCCCAGGGCGACCCAGTCTTGAGTGGGTAAAGACTTGAGAAGTGAAGATAGCCAGCACATCACCCATCGAGTGACAACTGCTCTATGAAACCTGTCTAGCCCTATATGCCCAATACGCCTGAAGCGTGGAAAAGAGTGCTATACTTTGCTTTTTATTGAGTTGTTCATTACTTGTCTGTACATACATACTCCTATGTGTGTGTGTATATGTAAATATAAATATATATACATATATAACATTGTTGTTTTATTTTCACAAACAAATAATTTGTTGATATTTTTGTCTTGTATATATTCAGACATTTTTTGTTTTATCCCAAGATGTAACTGCTTTGTATCCGTTTACAGCATAGCTGCCATATTTGCGTATTTCGGCCGAAAAATCCGACTTCTCCGGGCATTTGTTAGCCTTCCTGGTAACCTGTAGATAATTTTTTCTAAATTGGTTTTCTTCTTCTTCTTCCTATTTTTCTTCTATATCATATGTTTATCTTATGCAATAAATCGCTCTCATTCAATGTCAGAAAGAGAGTGCTAAAATGTTACACAGAACCTGTTCTGCTGTATGGTAGCAAATACTGGAATGTCAGTGAACAAATTAAGAAGAATTTTGAAGCAATAGAGATGTGGTTTCTGAAACGAATGTTACGAATACCTTGGATGGCTAGAGTAACTAAGAACGATTGTTTGAAAAAAAAAATCTAATAAGAGAAGATCTCTATTTGCAACAATAAGAAAGAGACAAACACTCTTCTTTGGCCTAGTAATGAAAAGAGAGGCATTGGAAAACATCGTGACAACTAGAAAGATCTGTGGGAAAAGGAGTAGAGGCAGACCAAGAGAGATGATGGTGTATGGGCTGAAACGATGGCGTGGAGGGATATCATCAAGAGAGCTGTTCCAGGCAACCAGGGATCGTGATCTGTGGAGATACATGAGCGCCTAAGCCAGTTATATGGCACATGATAATGATAATCATTTTTTTCCTTCGTCGTCTTCTTCTTCTCCCTCCTGCTTGGTGGGTTGATTGATTAGATTGTTGTTTGTTTAGTAAACTGGCTGACTGACTGGTTGTGAGTTCTCTGGAACAGACAGTGTTAACTACCAAACCTCACGCACTCAAGCCCTGGTCGTGTTAACTCTTTAGGGCTTGCATTTATCAGACAGAAATTAATGTACACATTTGTCTCCTGACCCGACACTGCAGTTCTATCTCCACAGGGACTATATTGAAGAATCCTTCTTGCTTCCCCA